GGGCTCGGGGGCTCGGCCTCACATGCACGGCTTCTGATTAGCAGCTTTGGGAACGCGAGGTTGCAGCTTCACCATTCGATCTGCTCGTCACCATGCTGAGACACTACTGACACTATCCTGTATGTCCGCAGGCACAGCCCAACTTCTACTACCAGCCGATCTCGGCCAACAAGACTGCACCCAAGCCGCCCCCGCCCTTCAAGCCGTCCAGCTCCGACACCAGCAGGGGCTCGCTGCCGTGGCGTTACGGCTCCAGCGACAGCGGCCTGTCGCACAGGGGCGGGCTGTCGGGGTCGGCTGACTCCAGCTCGGGGGGCTCCCCCAATGGAGACAGCTACTTCTCCAGACCCTCTGACACCAGGGAGGGCTTCTCCAGCAAGTTGAACGACTACCCCGACGGCTCACGGCAGAGGGAGAGCAGGCTGGAGGACGGCACCACGTCGTCGAGGAGTAGCAGGCTGGCCAGCAGCGGGGACTTCTCCAGCGACCTGTCCGATGGACCGAGACTAGCAAGCAGCACATTTTCAAGCAGCAAGTCTCCTCGAAGTAGCAGGCTGGCGAGCGGAAGTGACTTCCCTAAAACCTTTTCCGGCAGTGACGACTCGCACGATGACTTTTCCAGTGGGTTGACGGGCTTTTCGAAAGGCTTCTCCGCCATTCCAACCAGCTCCAGTAAGTTGTCCAGCGGATTCTCCAGCGACTTCCCCCGTGGCTCGAGTAGCGGATCATCCTCGTCTTCCAGTGACTTCCCCCGCGGCTCAAACAGCGGCTCGTCGTTGTCCTCCAGCTCAAGTTCTGGCGATGGCTTCCTCAGCGGCTTCTTCCCTTCACTGAGCCCGTTCGGTTCGAAAGACTCGTCCTCGTTCCCATCCAAATCCCCGTTCGCCGACGAGTCGGACGGAGTTTCCCCCTTCGTTAGAACACCGCCGTCCACCCTGACACTCCTCGCGACCTCGTCTTCTTTTGTTGACGGCTACGACGACCACGGCGACGCCCCTTCCTCGTCGTCCTCGTCTGGCAGCCTGAGGGAAGAGGACGCTGGTCCCGACCGACCGCCGACGTACGACTCGGACGAGTACCGGGGCGACGCAGACAGCGGCGGGCGCTACGAGCGCGGGTACCTGCACACCAGGGAGTTCAGGGACACCAAGGCCGTCGGGGCACCGGCGACCGCCGCACCCCGGCCGCCACCGAGGAGCCAGCGCATCCGCAGCACCAGCAGCGGCGGTCGCTACAAACAGCCGCGTAAACGGCAGCACAAGACGCTGGCCGAGGCCAAGCAGCCCCTCCGCAACTATAGCGAGCAGCAGCACCTGACACCGTACTCAGACCACCGCAACAACCACACGGACTACAAGTACTACGAGGACCACGACGCCAACGACACGCACGTGGAGCACCACTACCGCCACGTGGTCTCCACCCACAACTACTACAACGCCAGCGACAACAACGCCAGCACCGCCACGCCCTACTCCAAGGACGCGGCGTACGACGCGCTGCGCATCGCCAAGAAGCACAACTACAACGTGGACCACGTGTACAACGACGGCCGCTACATCCCCATCGTACACAAGCAGGAGGATTCTGAAAACCTGTCGGAGGGCAACTTCCCGGACGGCCCGCACGTCAAGCACCACTACTACAACAACGAGTACACTCACGACCACCGCAACAAGTCCACGGGGCCCACGGTGCGCCACCACTACCACAACAAGGACGTCAAGGTGTTCTACCACGACCACCGCAACAAGACGGGCGGCAAGTACTCCTCGTACAGTCCGAGCAGGTACTCTTCTTCGTCCACGTACGGCCCGGACTACCACGGCTCCGAGTCCAGCAGCAGCGAGGGCTACGCGTCGTCATCGTCGTCCTCGGAGAGCCCCGTCGTGAAGCACCACCACCACGTCAAAGAGTTCCACTACGACGAAAAGGGCCGCCTCATCGACCCCAAGAAGTACAACTACACCGACATGTACACGTCGTCCAACTACACCAAATACGACGACGAGCAGAGCTCCGGCGAGGCCAGCGACGGCGACGGCAGGGACGAGTCCCACGACAGCTACTCGGAGCCCAGCGGAGACGGTCGCCACACGGGCGACGAAGACGAGGGGAAGCAGGACGAGGTCGACGACCGGCGGCAGCAGCAGAAGCCTTCCAGCTACCAAGGCGACCACACCACCAAGAGCTACTACTACAACTCCAACCACCACAACCACTACAGCGGCAGGAACAGGGAAACCACGCACGGGGCTTCCCGGCCCTCCGCGGCCAGGTACGAGAAGACGCTCGAGGAGCTGCTGTTGGCGAGCTACAGCACCCCGAGGCCCGTCACTACTCGGAAGCAGAGCTAGCGCGTTGGTAGTTGAAACCCAAAAGCCAGGTTCACGGGTTCAAATACCAACAGGGCAGAACATGTGTGGGGAACATGACTACACCTAATCGTTCGTATCCCGCCCCCTGCAGGTACGAGTCGGAGGCTGACTACCTGACCTCGGTGCCGCTGCCCCAGTCGCACGGCGCAGCCTCGGCGGCAGCCTTCAGGCCCGGTAAAGGCGCCGTGGGCTACCAGGTGCACCACCGTGACTTCGGCGACCACTCCTTCTCTTCCAAGGAGGTCAACTTCGAGGACGGCTTCTCCTTCCGCAAGGAGAAGCGCGGCGGGCCGTCCAGCTACCTGGAGACGTACACGTCTCCCGGCGGCGCCAGCGGCTACTTCTCGTCCTTCCGCAGCAGCCGGGACGGCGGCGACGACACCGGCTCGAGGCTGCGGGGTCTCGGGGGCCCCGGGTACCGCTCTGGACTCGTCACCCGGGACGTGGAGGCCGTGACGGCGCTGGCGGGCAACGGCAAGCGGCCCCCTCTCCCTCTCGGCAGTCCCGCCCCGGGCGTCTCCGCGCTCGCCGGCCTCGGCCACGCCGCCCGCGTCTTCCCCGACCATACGCGCTCGCTGGTGAGCAGGGGCAACATCGGCTACATCCTGGTGGACCCGCTGGGCGAGCTGCCCACCATCCGCATCCACGCCAGCCTCGTCAACTCGGCGCAGCACGCCGCAGCGCCGTCCGCCCCCTACCCGCGGTACGCCCCGGCCCCCAGCCTCGCCCCTAACCCCGGCTTCGCCCACGGCCTCAGCCACGGCCTTGCCCACCACAGCCTCGGCCCCGCAGCACCCACGAGGGCCTCCTTCTTTTCAACGTCGGATCCGTTTCACCCCGCGGTGGCTCCGGTGACAGCCCTGCGCCGCGTCGATCGTGACCCTTCCCCTTCCCCATTGTCCGTTCCCAGTCTTCCCCCCAGCCCAACCCCAACCGTCCCTACAACAACTTCCCCCCCTACCACCGCCTTCGAACCCGACACAACCACCACCAGCTGAGTCCCGAGGTGCAGGCAGTGCATTTCTGTCTAATGCTGACAGCTCACAACCTTTTTTTGCCATTAAGTATTACATTCACGAGCACCCAGTCCTGTGCGTCGGTGTCGATAGAGGAGCCCTTATTATGCTTTGTGAACTTTCCCGGAGTTTTCTCCAAATGACTGATATTTCATGACTGATGATGTATTATTGCTGTTACCTTTTTCTTGTTATTTGTTGGTAATAAATACCTGTTAGTTGTTGACTTGTTTACACCATGCTGTTTAATTCTTTTTATAAAGCTGTTCCAAGAGAAAAAGTAACAGACTTTTTGCTTCATTCTGACTACAGAAAATCAGACAAAAAGACAAAGGAGTGGTTACAAAAGGGATAATTGCTCGGTTAGCAGGCGGTACGCGACGCCTCGATACAATCGGCTTGTTGGCGAACCTGTTTGCAAAGCCACTGACCGGCGTGTGAGCAGTGCTGCTCCGCGGGGAAGGGACAGGAAGGGAAGGGAAGGGAAGGGAAGGGAAGGGAAGGGAAGGGAAGGGAAGGGAGGGAAGGAAGGGAAAGGGAAAGGGAAGGGCAGGGAGGGAAGGGAAGGGAAGGGTGAAGGGAGAGAGAAGAAGCTCGGGAGGAGGTCCGCCCGCCGGCGGCCCGCCGGAGACGCCTTCCGCTTCGAGGCGTCCTGAGGCTCGCGTGAGGCCAGAATGCAAATTCCCCATGCTGGGCGCGGGCTGGCGCGGGCTGGCGCGTGCCGCACTCATCGCAGATGCGCGGGCTTCGAGATGTGTGCAGCCAATGCCGGGCCTCGTCGGCCGCGGAGCCATTCGAATCCCAGTCGAGGCGAGCAGGGAGTGGTGCTACTAATTGTTGCTCTGCAGCTTTGCTCCGCTAGAAAGCAAAATTTCTTCCAGAGCACTGATTCCTCGGCGGCGCCCCCCCGCTGCCACCGCCTGGGTTTTTACTGCCGTTGTTCTCCGCGCGTGGTCGCCCCACGCCGCCGCACGGCACGCCGCGCCCACCTCTCAGTGCGGGGCCGCCCTGACAGCGGCGCGGTCCAGGGCCGCGGCGTGTTCGTCATGTAGTGCAGAGGGGTGCCCCACCGTACGAGCACGTGTTACACGTGGTTTTGTCGTGACAAACGAGGTTGTCCCCACCACTAAAGTCGTTTACACACACCGTGCAGGCTCGGCGACGCTGACGATGAACGACTTATTCCTCTTTAGTTATCGTGTGCTTGGGTGCGTAAGCTTGGCGCCTGCGAGACTCAGGGTAGACCATCCCGCAGTACACGCATGCACCACAGACAAGATACTGCCTACCTACGAGGCGCTATGAGACTTTGCATAGGTTAGTGCGAGTACTGCCCGCGGACGCGTGCGGGGCGCGCGCCCCACCGTGCGTCCAGCACAGGCGCCCCTGCCCCCCCCCCC